GGTCGTCCAAATTTGCAGTAATATATGAAAACACTTTACGTCGGTTGACCTGTGCATTTTCATGAAACGTCTAGCATAATTTTAATGTGTGGTACTACTGTATGTTGCTTGTGACCCACAGATGAAGGTAGAACTACTAGTGGAGTAAGACAAGGTAAGTATCATTCTTTCTTTATATCAATCGCCTATACATTATTTAGTCTTCTAGGAAGCAAAGAAATTACGGCATAGCGATAGTATCGGGGAGAGCTTAAATATGAATGCAATTCTAAGCTATAAATATGTAAGAAAAAAAGGGAATAAAGTATATTACTGCCACAGATCTTTCTGGGCAAGAAAGTATGTGCTTAGAATTCAAAACATTTCTAAAATAGTTGAAGCTATTAGATGGAATATTTAGTTACCATTAGAGTATCAAAACCGGCCATAACTGTTAGAGCAAATATATTAGGATGTAGCTCTCCAGCCCATGGTTTGTTATTGCTGTTCATTTGATCGAAGGGGAAAATGTCAACAACTTATCAACTGTGTTACAGCGGATCAACCATTTGCAGGACAATGATATGACATAGTTAGTAAGGAAATCATTTCTGAAATTTAAAAATTTAAGATTAGGAAGGAATAATTGTCAGTAAATCGAGAACCAAAATTCCTATTTTTATTATTTTTTATTTTTCAATGCCTCTAAATGTTTTAAGTCTTTTAGAACACAATAATTAATTGAATTTATAATTCATAGTTACGTCAAAAAGGAGTTGCTTTTGAAGCAAGTATAGGTAACGTATATATATAGGACATGAGTATTAGTTGTTTGCGTAGGTTTAGCTTGAAATTCATAAAAATGTAGCTACATTAAAATATCGCTATGTAATAATTTCCATGTCTTAAAATCGACATATTTGAGTGAACGAAAAGAGGTACAGACAACTGATATAATGTATGCACAAACATGCAAATCATGACGTTGACATGACATTGCTTTGCATAGCACATCAGTGTGGTGCCCATCCGTTACGGTGGAACGGCTCTTGCAATGCTAACGTTCAACGTTAACAATCGGTTAGAGGACCTACCTACGCGCTCGTCACAAAAACAGAGAGCCTTATTGATTAAGAATACTTTAAAGTGCCTATGACCCTTATTTTTGTACTTTTTTATATCGAAACATAAGCTATTCTAAGAAACCATCCATAATGCCATGGCAGTTAATACGATGGCCGAGGACGGCTTCTGATTTCTGATTTCTGATTTCTGATTTCTGATTTCTGATTTCTGATTTCTGATTTCTG